TGAAGGTAACAACACTATGAGGCCCAACAGAGCAAATCAAATAGGCAAGGCAAGAAACTAAAAGGAGAAGGTGAAAAAGTAAAAAGAGTCAACAAAAAGCCATAACAGGACAATAATAAGTCAGTACGTATCAGTTATAACCATCAATGTCAATGGCCTCAACTCACCAATCAAGAGAAATAGACTGGCAAGATGGAATAAGAAGCAAAATCCAACACTATATTGTATACAAGAAACACACCTAGTACAAAAAGAAGCCCATAGACTGAAAGTGAAAGGATGGAAAACAATTCTTCATGTGACAGGAGCCCAGAAAAAAGGCAGGGGTGGGAATCTTATTTGCAGACAAAGTAAATTTCAAACCAAAACTGATTCTAGTATTACAGATGTAGGACTGTACTGTATCATACCTCTGTGAATGTAAAATATCTAGTACCTGCTTTATGATACTTAGTAGGGACCGTGCTCTATCAGAGCTATTTTTAATGATGTTACTCTAGAATGTTCTCTCTCCAGATGATGATTAAAATGCTAATAAAAAAAATGGTACAGGTACCACAACAGCAACAGAACTTTGCTGTTTTCTGGGTATTATTCTTCTATTTTTATTTCTTTATTTTTTTTGTTTTTGTTTTTTTAATGGAATGTGCTGAATGTTTATAATTTTGTTCAGATGACTGCAGAACCTGGAGAAGCTGTTGCTATTGATGCATAATATACTGCTATTATTGGTCTTTTTATATAAATATAAATATATATAGACATACATATAATTTGAATTTTTGGAACCTTTAACTGTGCTGTCGACTTTGGAAAAAGTTATCCCAATTTACTGTGTTGAGTTGGCATTGTACAGAAATTAACAGCCATATTGTTCTAGAAATGTTAATTTTTTCCCATTTCTACAGGGGTAATGCACTGTATTAAATATGTAAGGTCATATCTAAGTGGGTTTGATTACAGAAACTAATAAAGTATTCTCTAACTAATGAAAAAAAAGAATAATATAAAACTATAAGAGCAAGAAGCAACTTAAATATGTTCAAGGACCCCAGAATTAAGGATTATTTTAATGTTACATCATTGCCTTTACTCTTTTACTTTCTTTTTTAGTTTTATTTTAGGATTCCCTATTTTTAATGTTCATACAGAGATTTCTTTAACTGAAATACCGAATAGTTTCTTTGGTGTGAAAAACTGTAATAGTACACAGGATCCTAATGAGATAATTAATAATGTGAAATAGGAAGTAAAGAGCTAAAGGTGTAGGGAAAGTGGGAAGGGTGGGGGAAAGGTAATAAGGGAGAGGAAAAAAATATGAGAAAATGAAAGAGTGGAAATAAAGTGTTTGTAAATGGGGAAGGGAGAAGGGGGTGAAGGGAGGGCAGGGACAAGGGGAAAAAATGAGAATCAAGACCTATCATGTAAAGGCACAGGATCCCAATAATGAATGTAATTGTATTGTATACCTAGATTGTACCAATAAACTCAATAAAAAAATTTTACAAAACAACATACTTATAAATAATCAAATGGGTCAAAAGGAAGTGACAAAGGTTTATAAAGGGGAATATTCTGAAGTAAGTGAAAATGAAAACGCATTTAAAAACTTAAACAGATAAAGCAGCATCTAGACAAAAATATGTAGTATTAAATGACTCTATTAGACAAAAGAAAAAAGGCCTCAGATAATCTAAGCTTCTAATTTCAGAAACTAGAAAAAATAAGAAATCAATAAGAGAAAAGGGCAGGCACAATAGCATAAGCCTTTAGACCCAATTACTTTGGAGGCTAAAACAGGAGGATTGCTAATTTGAGGCCAGCCTGGGCAACTTAATGAGACCCTGTCTCAAAAATAAATAACTAGGCCAGGAGTGGTGGTGCATGACTATATTTGCAGCACTCAGAAAGCTGAGGCAGGAGGATCTCTATGAGTTCAAAGTCAGCCTGTGCTACATAGTGAGTTCAGGCCAGTCTGAAGTACACATCAAAACCCTGTTTAAAAAAGCTAACTAAATAAATAAATGAAAAGAACTGAGGCTGCAGTTCTTGGGTTCCAACCCCAGTACCACAGAAGAATAGGAAGGAGAAAGATTTGAAGAAAAATCAGTAAAATTTAAAAGAGAAACAACAGATAAAATCAATGAACCCCAAAGTTCTTTGTATTTATTTTTTGAGAAAATCATTAATTGATACAGTTCTATCCAGGCAGAGTAAAACAAAGTAATATCAGGAATGAAGGTGGAGCCATCACAACAAATTCTACAGAAATTTAAAAGAGTAATAAGGGAATATTATGAGCATCATTATGCCCATTAATTTTTTTCAATTATTTATTTATTTTGGTTTTTTGGGACAGGGTCTTGCTACATAGTTCAAAATGGCCTTGAACTCACTATATATCCCTGGCCTTGAACTTGAACTTGCTGTGATAACTCCTGCCTCAGCCTCCCAAATGCTGGGATTACAGGTGTGCACCATTATGCGTGACTTCAATTTTTATTTTTTATTATTACATGTTTACAGTACATAATGATTATAGTCCTCATGGGGAGTTTGTACATGTACATAACACATCTTAATTCTTTGTTCATCCCCTTCCCCTCCTTTTTCTCCCCCCTCCCTCCATCTCTTGGTTGTCTTCCCTTTTACAAAAAGATCTACCTCCCTGTTTCCTATTATCTATCTCTTATTTTGCTGTTTATTTATATTTTGGGTTTCTCATATAAGATAAACTATGTGATATTTAACCCTTTGTGTTTGGGTTATTTCACTTAACATTACATTTTTAAGGTGCATCTATTTTCCTACAAATGTCTCATTTATCCTTTTTATGGCACAGTAGTACTCCATTGTATATAAATCCTACATTACCTTTATCCATTCATCTGGTTATGAACATAGAGGCTGTTTTCAAGGTTTAGTTATGACTTGTGCTGCTATAAACATGGGTATGCACGAATCACTATAATATGATATCTTTAACTCTTTTGGAAAGTTACTAAGAAGAGGAATACCTGGGTCAAATGGAATTTCTATTTTTAGTGTTTTGAGGAATCTCCATACTGATTTCCACAGTGGTTTTACTGGTTTACATTCCAACCAACAATGTAGAAATGTTCCTTCCCCAACTCCAAGATCTCCAGCATTTGATATTATTCGATTTCTTCCTTATAGCCATTCTTTCTGCTGTAAGATAGAATCTTGATGTTGTTTCAATTTGCACTTCTCTAATTATGCCCATAAATTTTAAGTCTTAGATGAGACTGACAAATTTTTCTTTCTAAAAATCACAAACTACCAAAGCTCCCTCAGGAGAATATATAGTCCTGTATCTATTAAGTTAATTGAATTCATAGTTAATCTTCCAACAAAGAAAATTCCACCAAAGAATACTACAAAACAATTAAAACACATGTAATACCAATTTTGTATAAATTCTTCCCTAAAAAAGAGGAGAATAGGAATTTATCTCAGTGAGGGAACACTTGCTAGAAGGCTCAAGGCCCAGGGTTCAATCCCCAGCATTGCCAAAAATAAAAAGAGAGGAAGGCACAATTTCTAGTTCACTTTAGGAGATTAAAACCATGCAAAAACATACAAGAAACCTTCAGACCAATGTCCCTCATGAAAATAGATGTAGAAATCCTCAACAAGGTATGACCACACTGAATTTAGTAACATGGAAAGCATAATACATCATAACCAAGTGATGTTTATCCTGGATTCAAGACAATTGTAAACTCAATTCACTATATGAACAGATAAAAGAGAAACATAAAATTACCTCAGTAAATACAGAAGTATCTGACAAAGTTTAGCGACTGTTTAAAATTTTGATGATAAAACTCTCAGAAAGCTAAAAAGTTCCTCAATCTGTTAAAGACCATCTACAAAAATAAAGCTTACAACTGATGTCATACTTCACAATGAAAGATTGAATGCTTTCCCCGAAGTCAAGGATATCTACTGTCAGGACTCTTGTTCAGTATAGAGGTCCCCGACAGTGTAATATGACAAGCAAAAGAATTGGAGGGAAAACATATAGAGTAAAAGAAATTAAATAAGGTTATTTGTAGATGACATGATTGTCTGCATAGAAAATCCCAAAGAATCTACAAAATAGCTACTAGAACTAATAAATGAGTTTAGTAACTCACAGGATACAAGGTTAATACTCAAAAATTATATTTTTATGAATGAACAATGAAGTTCAAGAATGAGCAATAAAATCAATTATTCCAGAAGTAAAAATATTTCTTACCTCTCATGAAGTGACATTGACTGGACAGGAGCACAAGGGAACCTTCTAAAATGTTAGAAATTGTTATTTATCATGATCTGGGCAGTGATTAAATAAGTTTAATCATACATGACAATTCATCAAGCTGTTTGCTAAAGCTTAGAGCCCTTCAATTTATTGCATGCATGCTATACTTCAAGTATTTTAATTTTCACTCTGTCAAGGGTGAATGAAAACTGTCTTAACATAGTATGGTTGATGCCATCTGATATAAGATACTTCCTGTGGTGAGTTCAAAAAGTACTGTTGACTGACTCAATGAAACAATTTGTAGACTTCTAATTCGCTGAAAGGAAAGCCACTGTTATTTTATGAGGCACTGTATCTTCCACTTAACTCAGCCATGAGAGTGAACACATAGGCATAGTTGCAAGTTCACAGAGGCAAGTAAACATTTGGTTTTAATTAGAATCTTAATGATAGCAGCAGGACTTTTTCAGGCTAATTTTTAGAATCATAGAAAAGGTTTCAGAAAATGTACAGGCAGTGCTAATGAATGCATTACAGAATGCTGAAATTAGTGGTGAGCTTATAGAGTTGAAAACGTTAAAAAAATCTGTCTACAGGGGCTAAGATGAACTTCAACTTGGAAATAAAATAAATTTTCCTGAACAGGAAAAGGTCTACAGAGAGACTAAACAGGGGAGAATAATGAAATGAAATCACTGAGACTGTTGCATTTTTGCTTCTTTCTTAGGAGACTTCTCAAATGATCTGTATGAAACATTGCTTCTATTATATGAGTTTGAAGTTAAAGCTAGAATGAATGATCCATCACTGGACAGCTTCCTGGAATCAGTGTGGGAGCTGCCTCATTTAGAAAGTAAAACATTTGAAACAATTGCATGTAAGATATATGTTTATGTTTTTGTAAGGCTAGTGTCCATTTAGATCCTGCTATTTTCTTTGCTCTCTTTACTCTTCTTCCTCCAGGTGGTGAATAGCACTTTTTTCCTCATAGCACTTTTTTCTCCCTCTCTATTTTGTATTACAGTCCTTTGTGCATTTATCTTTTTCACTCTATGAGAGTATAATCTCCTTAGGGTCATGAAAAATAGTTACATGCATCTATTATATTTATAAACTCGAGGGAAGTGCATTGCTCATAATATGTGCTCAAATTTATTCTGTGTGAAATTTAATTATGTAATTACACAATAGGGGGAGCTCAAGCTTCAAAATGTTAGTTTTTCTCAGCTAGCTAGAAATAGTAATTGCTTCACTGATCAAAGGTGATACAATCTTAGCAATGTATTTAAAATGTACAGAGAAATATTGGAAGTAGTTATAACTCAGTTGCCACTCTCATATTTCTGGTTGAGCTGTAAGTGGTATTTGAGGACTCAGAGCCTTTGGGTGGGGGTACTCTAGGAAATGGATTAATTATCTCCCCTTTTTCTCTCTCACCCTGCTCATGAAGCAGGAGTGTGGTTAATGAAGGTATTAGGTCACCTCAATCATGTTTGCCTTTCCTTAGTCTTGCTGAGACAAAATTCCTAGAGCCATGAAGCATGTATACTTGAACACATGATTATGACCATTGTTCCTGTATAATGGAACTCCAATTCTAGAGGCCTATTAAAAAAAATCTGGGGGTTATTTCTGGTTCTGTCTTGTCAACTGTTTCCTATTTTTACCATCTGGCAAGAGTAAAACAGTATATTATGTTAAATCTGCTATTGATTGGTGCCTTTTACTGATCTGCTTTCTCTTTCTTTCTTGATGTGCCCCTCCTTGACTGTGATTTATAAAATTGTTGCTTCACCTGTAGAACTATGTGACTATGTGTAGGGTCACAGAGAAGATAGTAGGTTTTCTGTTGATGATTACTGAGGAAAGGATGTAACCTGGCAATCCTAGCATGTTACTCTGCCCAGAAAGAAGAGGCTATCTGTAAAACATTTGTGGATTCATCATTTTATAAAACTCATCTTTATTGCGTATGCGTGTGTGTGTGTGTGTGTGTGTGTGTGCATACCTATGTATATATGGGCTGTTAATCTGTTTCAGTCAAGTTTCATTACAGGAAGCAATTTGTAGCCTGGGATGAAACCTGATGGGTACGATTATGGCGTTCACACCTTTTTTTTTAATCTTCCTTTAGTGTTAGCAATGGAAATGCCTGCATATTACCCTTCCATCGCTCTCAGGGCCTTGAAAAGGGCTTCATTGCTTCACAAAAAGAAAGAATCAATTGATGTTTTGAAATACAGGTTAGTAAATATAATTCAGTACCTAATTCAGGCTTTTTAATAGCCAAAAGAACTATAGTCAAAGCCCCCCTAAGCAAATGTAAAAGATGAATGAGGAGTGGGAAGGAGTGGGGGTAATAAGATGCTAGGATTGCCTGATACAAGGAAAGATTGGTTGACCCCATTTACAGCTTCAAATATCTATCTTCAGATGTTAGAGACCAGATAAAGGTAAAGGAAGAACAGAAGTGTTTTGAAGCTCTTAGTCTGGGATGAGCTCCAGGTTTTACTTATCTTAGTCATAAAGTTAATGATTTCTTTCCTTGTAGGTTGATTTCTCTCTTTTCTGATTTTCAGCAAATGCATGCGCAATTTGATCAACCTTTCAGTGCCAGATGGGGTATCGAGTGCAGAATTCTGTTCCCTGAAAGACGTTTGGGGCCACTTTGAAGATGTTCTGAGCCTTATTAGCCACACTGTAAGTCAGTGATATTAAATTTTCATCTAGTTTAAAAGAACTGAATTGTCCTATATATTGGAAATTATATAAAATAATGTTTTCTGATATGAGTTTTAGGGTCTATTCACATTACAGTGTAGCTATGCACTACAAAATTTCCCTGGGCTTATGAAGTATAAATAGGAACAAGTAGAAATTTTCTAATATGATTATACTATGGATTAGGTCAAAATAGTAGTACCATCAGGCATCTTGAATTATTTTGTATTTTCAAAGTCTGGTAGAATCGTACTTCCCCTTTGATGATATTAACCTTCTGGAAAAGCTTATTATTATCACCACTGTTTCTCAGGCAGGTGTTAAAAGAGAGAGGGAAAACATCTTTTAGTCCCTCTTTGCTGATTCCTTGTTCTTTTTAGTGAAGGTTTCTTTAGTGATTTTTATAAATTAGCTTTATTGAGGTATAATTTATATATCATAAAATTCATCTATTGCATGTGTACAGTTCTGAAAATTTATGGAGCTGTGCAACTATCACCAAAATTCAGATTTAGAACATTTCTATTATCCTAAAAATTTCCTTTTGCTAATTTGTTGTCAGTCCCTACTCCTAGCTTCAGTCCCGGGCAACCACAGAACTGCGTTCTACTTTTACAGACTTTCTCTTTCTAGAATCCTATAAGATGTGGACTCCAGTGCCTGCCTTCTTTCACTGAATATAATGTTTTTGAGGTTTGTTCATATTGCACCATTATCAATATTTTTATTAGAGCAATATTCTATTAAATTGTCATACCACATTGTATTTATTCATTTATTAATTGACAGACATTTGCGTTGTTCACACTGTTTGGCTATTATGAATGATGCTGCTATGTACAAGTCTTTGTGTACCATATGTTTTCAGTCCTCTTGGATATATACCTAGGAGTGGAATTGCTGGATCATTTGGTTATTCTGTGCTTCACTTTTTTTTTTGTACCAGGGATTGAACTCTCAAGCAAGGCAGGCATGGTGCCACTGAGCTAAATCCCCAGCCCTAAGCTTCACTTTTTGAAAAGCTGCAATCTGTTTTCTAAGTGCTGGCACCATTTTATATTTATACTAACAGTGTGTGAATAATCCAATTGCTCTACATCCTCATCTATTGCTAACCATCTTTTTTTTTTACACTGGTGATTGAACCCAGGTCACACAGGTCTATATCACCAGCCATTTTTACTTCTTTTTTTTTCTCTTGGATACCAGGGATCAAACTCAGGACCTTGCGCTTAGGAGGCAGGTACAGCGCCACTGAGCTAAATCTCTGGCCCCATTTTTACTTCTTAAGACAAGGTCTTGCTAAGTTGCCCAAGTTGGCCTTCAACTTGTAATCCTCCTGCCTCAGCATGAATAGCTGGGATTACAAGCATATACTACCATATACAGTCTGTCTTTTTTTATTGTAGACATCCTAGTGAGTATGGAGTGGTAGTTCATTGTGGTTTGACTTGTAGTTCCATGTTGGCCATTTGTTGACTGTTTACATTTTTCATTGAAAATATAACTATTCAATTACATTTGAGTTAACATTTGTGTATGATATGAGGTCTAAGTGTTTTATTGTTGATTGTTTTTGCATATGAATATCATTCTCCTATTGTTTAGCTTTCTCACTCATAAAATAGGAATAATACCTGCTCTGACTATTCCATACTGGAGTTGTAAGAATCAATACAAACAGGATGTATGTTGTAAATTTTAGCAGCTCATACACATGTAAGGTGGTATTGCTATTATAAGGGAGCTATAAAATATTGATAAGGTTAGATTAAAGTCATATCGAAAGTCATTGTTGGCATCCATGTTAATATCTATGGATCTTGACTGCTATGGACTCAACTGCTTTTTCATATGCAAATAAACATCTATAAATCAGAACAGATGGTGGAATACAGCAGGTTGACCACCTGCCACAAATTGCATTGAGTACTCTAGCATTCTTCTACTATGTAATTATTGCCTGAGTGAATTTAAGTTGAAACAAAAACTTTAGCATTAAATATTTTCTATCTTTTCTTTTATTATCTTTTGGGAAGAAGAGAAAATTCCATTCCTAAACCATGAGCATTATCTGGTCCTTCAAGTGTGTTTGGCATAGTAGCTAATACAACAAATTAAAATTAGATCATACTATAATTGCAAGTTGATCCATTTCCATAGTCTCAATATGACAACAAAACTTCTGAGCATTTTGGTTTTGCCACTTTTATTCTGTCTTATTACAGTTCTAATTCTATGGTTCTTGGGTTGCCCAATCTTGATATTTTTCTACTTTTCTGAGGAGTTTCCCATTCATTATTGCTCATCACACTAACATGAATGAATGTTTTTTTAAATGCAGACATTACTTTAATAATCCCTCGGCTCTTTACCTTGTCTATGTTGCCTTTTCTTATTTGCTTGGATTCGAGATTCAACTGCTTTGTTTTATATGTTTGGGAGAAAATTCTTCCTTTGTTTGATTGACTTACTTAATGGCCAGCCACACATTCATTATTTATTCAACAAATAACCTTTACCAAATGCCTCCATACACTGGCAAAATGGTTATTACACAAAGCAGCTTCACAATATCAAGCACTACTGTTACAAAGCAATTTTATGTCCATTATTGCATATGACCCTCTCATAGCAATTCTGTCAAGTTGACAATGCTGTTATTATCCTTAACTTAATGAGGACATTTTTAAGATTTAAAAAAGTCATGCTACTAATGAATGAGAGTTAGAAATAGAATCCTGGTCTTTTGATCTTATGTCTTAGTTTGAGGTACTAGAATAAAATTCTGTACTATAGATTGGGTGGCTTATAAACAACAGAAATTTACTTCTCCTAGTTCTGGAGGCTAGGAAGTACACAATCAAGCACTGATTCAGTCTCTGGTGAGGGTCTGCTTCTTATAGATGGGTCATCTTATTGTAACCTTATATAGCAGATGGGACAAGGGATCTCTATCTTTTTTATAAGGGCACTAATCCTATTCATGAGGGCTCGACATTCTTTATCTTATCACCTCCCAATGGCCCAACCTTATAATATTATCACCTTGAGGATTATGATTTTATCATATGAGTTTGCAAGGGGGATAAATACTCAATCCATTATCATTTACAGGCTCTTTCTACTAAAACATGCAACCTTGCCAGTCTTGCTAGCAAATTCCATCTGAAAGGAAAGGCTTAGGTTGATACTCAGAAGCTGGTACCAGTGAAAAAACTGAGGGGAGGTGACAAAAGCTTACACAAGTGGTCATACGTATTCTATACTAGGTTCAAATTCTAGATTATCCTTAAGAGAAAGTAGACTGTTCAGATAGCTTTTTAATTAAAACATTATTTTTAAGTATTTATAGACCCAGATGCACTTGTAAGAAATAACACAGAAAGAAAAAAACAAAGCACAGTATCTTAACCAGGATGTTGGAATTATTATTAATTATTACTATAAATGTTTTTACCACCATAAGGAGTCCTCACGTTGCCCTTCTATAGCCTCCCCCAACTTCTGTCTATATGCCTAAAACACTGGAAATTTTTAAAATCCATTGGAAGTCACTAATCTTTACCAGTTTCTATAATTTTACCAATTCAAAAATAGTATAAGCTGGGCACAGTGTTGCATATGTGTAATCTCAGCACTCTGAGAGGCAGAAGGATCACAAGCTTGAGCCTGGCCTGGGCAACTTAGTGACTTAGAGACCCTGTCTCAAAATTAAAAAAATAAAAATGTAAAAGGTCGGGGGATGTAGCTCAGGGATAAAGAAGGTCCTGAGTTCAATCCCAGTAACACACACATTCTTTGTGTTAATACATCAAGTGAGAATGGCAGGATAGATTTTCATCAATTTAGAAGGTATGTTTGAAATAATATTAAAATAAAAAGGGCAGCCAGGACCAGGACTCATTGCCCCTAGTGTCTAGTCCTGTATGTATCACAAACATACTTGTGTGACTTGGGCAAGTGGTGCCATCTCTCTCAGCCCCTGCTTCCTTGCCGATAAAATGAGATTTCTAGAAAATTCCACTTCTAGAATGGTAGCATGTAAAGCTACATGGAGTTACTTCCCAACAAAACACCCATAGCTAGTGAAAATAGGAAAAAAATATTTAAGCTGAGTACAGGGGCTCATGCTGAAATCCCAGATACCTGAGAGGCTGAGGAAGGAGGATCACAAGTTGGAGCAGCCTGGGTAGTTCAGTGAGACCTTGTGTCAAAGTAAAATTTTTAAAAAGGGCTAGGAAATAGAGCTCAGTGGTAAGCACTTGCCCACTATGCACAATACCCTGGGTTCAGTCCCCAGTACTGCAAAACAAACAAACAAATAAAACTGCCATTTAAAGTCTCTAGAAAATTGCCTAAGAGCATACAGAAAATGACGAAAGATCTATTCAAGAGAATCTACTAAATTTTGGTAAAGAACCATAAGAGTCTGAGACACTAGAGCCTGTGACCTACTCCTTCCCTGTCCCGCCTCCAACTAAGCATGAGGAAAGCTCTACTCCAGACAAATGTGACAATGTTTCCAGTGCCCTCAGCTCCTGGTCATAGGATATGGTATCCTGCCAGGAAGGCCAGGCTGCCAACATTTCTTACCCTAAACTGAGCTCCAAGATACAAAAGCTACATTCCTGACAAAGGTAGTCAAGAGAACGAAAGCTCCCTTCCTTTTCCCAACCCTCACTCATACACAAGAGGATCTACCCTGGGCAAGTCAGACCAAAAATATTTAGGTCCTGGTTGTCCTCATCCCAGCTCATTCAGGTTCAAGCCAAAAAGACCAGAGACCACCACCCTACCCAGCATCCTGCTTTGAAAGTAATAATGCCAGTCAGACAAAAGAGGGCTACTACTTGCCCCACAGAAGCTTGGAGATTTAGTCCAAAGGTAGATGCAGTCCACAAGAACAGAGAGCTTCCAACCTTTCCCCAGAGGAACTGACTAATTATGTGGAGAAGTTTAAGCCAAAGTGAGTTCTT